CTTTTCACAGTCACAGAACTAATTACCCTTTCAGTTGGCTAAGGAAAAAATGAGCCTAAGTGCTGCTGTTTCAGTTGTGGATGAGGCATATACCACCCAGAAACACTGGTAAGAAGTTCTGCAAGGCACTGAGGCTATGTTAGCTTTGTAAAGAGGTTTCCCTGGCTTGTGTTGAAGAGACTAGTGCTTCCTTATGGTCCAGAATCTGTGCTTCAAACACTCCTCTCCATGTCTCGTTAAGTGTCAGACACCTCCATCTACTGTGTGACAGATTTTCCTGATGGATACACATCCAAAGAGATTCAGTGGAAAACAGGATTAGCTATAATAGTGCTGACACTTGCACCCCACAGATTCAGTTAGCAGATATAAACAATAAACAGTATAAAATGATCAAAGGTATGCAAGCTATGGTTAGAATACTGTTTTGCCTCTTTTAAAGCTTCAGCTTTACTGACCCATCTCTCTAGGGTAAATTAATAATAATAAAAATTTATAATAATATTGTAATACACAATAAAACGCACATTGAGCTGTAGATTAAAAGTAGGTCTCTAACCCAAGGAAAATTTTGCAGTTCATTTGGTACAGGGTTAAAATATTTGTCAGCGCAGATCTGTGCAAAATAATCCGCAACGCACCCTGCCACAGCTTTCACACATCAGTTCAAGAGACATTTGTGAGAAAAAGGCAAGCAGCAGAGGAAAAGACATGCAGCACACAGTGCCACAACAGAGGAGAGCAGCATTTCGACTGCCGGATCTCCGCAGTCTACCCTGCCCGCTCCAAATGAGGGCAAGAGCATGGAATAGCCATTAGATGGCAACAACTCCAAATGACTTCCTGTCCTTCCTGCCTCTGACCCAGTGACCTAAAATAATCCACATAAAATACATTCAGTTTTATCACAGTTCAAAGAAAGTACAGACCTCGCTTCCTGTGCTAGTGTGCTTTTTAGGTGAATACAGGGCCAGAAATCCTCCCCTTGAAAGGAAAACGTTTCTGGGAGACAGTGTTGGGCAGCTCTCCCGCAGTACTACAGCAGGAGAACATCACCTCCTGTGCACATCACAGAACTGAAACATTCTTGCAGAAAATTAATGCATCATTTCTTTAGAGTTACAGTGAAGATTGATCCTGATGAGATGCCTGCAGCTTGTTCAAAAGACTTTACAAGATCTATCTGTGTCAGATAAATCCTCTCTGACAAAGGTATTATATTACAAGTTGTTTAAATATTTCAGGAAATTTCTTCAGCATTGATAAACAGTAGTTATTGGAATCCAGCAACAACTTACATATGTATCTTTTTATGTCTATATTTGTTCCACAAATTCTGAATATGAAATTTTAACTTCAGAGCCTTCCTTGGCTTACACTTTTTTCTGTAAATCCAAATAAAGGTCTAGATTTTAATAAGGCAGTTCAATATCAAATTTAACTCTTTGGTACTTGACAGGACTGTCTCCACCACAAACAAACAAGAATTAAAATGATATTTTACCTGCATTTCCTTCCTATTCCATAATTAATTATAAAGGAGGCAGCTACCAGATATTTTCTCTACCACTCAGGCTCTTTTTTACATTAGACAATCTTTGTTTTGCTTCAAGAGAAGTAGCAAGCAAAACCACTCATAAAATGCCTTCCTGCCAGTGAAATCATAGTTTAACATAATCTATGCTAGGAAAGATGTCCTTCACTTAGGTGATAGAGGACACCTACAAAAATGTGTAAAACAGGTTTATTTTACATGCACACAGTAATACATATAAGGATATACATAGAGAAAAGAAAATAATGTTGCAAATAACATTAACAGAATTTTTAAAAAAACCAAAAAACCACCTTCACTGACTCCTTAGGGTTGATACCTACTTTAAAACTCACCTAAAGTCAAAGGGGTACACACTTAGTGGACTATCACACAAGAGAAAGCAAATTCTGATATTAGCAATAGAAACTGTTCATTTCACATTGTTATGATAGACTGATTCAAAAGTGACAGTTGTTACCTAGCCACCAGAAAGCATTTATATTCTGCTAAGTAACATGTTGAGTATGAACAAATTTCCATTAAGATTAAAATTTTCAAATGTGTGTTCAAGCATATAAACTTGGATAAAATATTAATCCAATAGGTGAGAACTGCTTACTGAGCTCTCTTCATAGAGAATCACCTCTCTTCAGGTGAGCAATATACATAAATCCATGTATTTTACTTCTTTTTAGCATAGACAGTGCCTAGGTGGGTGACTGGAATTCATGCAGATATCGAAGTAGGAAAGCATTCAGTTCACAGAGTGCATTATCAGCAGTTGCTGCTTTCTGCTTCACCAGGGAGGCAGAATATTCCTAAGGCTTGGTATGCAGCAGTATAAAAATTATGTTACAGTGATATAAAATGACACAAGGCCTATTTTCACCCGTCTACGGAAAGAAAACTTAGAGGCATAAACCTGTTCAGAATACAGTTGCAAAATCGCCTTGTGAAGAACACATTTTTAAAAGAGGAATACTGCACAGCGCTAGACATCATATGGAAGTATGACCAACTTGGCGGCTCACCTTCATTTTCACTTTATATCAACTCAGTTTAACACATATTTAACTGACTCAGCAGCAGAACAGCTATAAAATACACAGGGTCAACTGCTCCTGACCTTTAGGGACAGAAAATACTAAAGAAAAGAGATGTAGCACACCTCAATATCTAAGTAGTGGATGATGTGGTTGTTCACCACCTAGAGCATGCAAGCAGTGAACTGGTTGAAAAGGCAGAAGGAAGATGACCAGGGAGTGTCCTGAATGTGTGTAAGACTGCTTTATACACAACGTGTTTGAATAGGCTCATCATGCAAGCAGAGGTTCATGAATCTGTATCGCGCTTGGAATAATTCTGAGGGGAATGCTGGATTCCAAACCCTCCCTGTACTGAGGCTAACACCAAAGGACTAGTCTACATCTTGGTTACACACACTTGCAGTTCCTACATCAAGCAAACAGGAAGTTATTTATAGGAAGCTCTGCAAAGTGCAGATTGCTAAGGAGATCCCTTACGTGACCGTAACGCAATCAAAACAAACGCTGTGGAGCGACATTCCTCTTCATTACAGTGTGGTGCTAAGGTGGTACTTCAGTTCTAGATAATTACTTTTAGTCTGTCACATAGTTTGAACACTTCAAGCCCAATATTGAGTTAGTGCCTACAGCCCCAAGTCAGTGACAGAGATTCCAGTATACCAGGGACTGAGTACAAGCAGCTAAAAAACAGTATCTCAAACACTCGAAGATAAAATATGCATCATCTCTAGTAATTACATTTTTTTAAAGCTTGCCATGAGTAAGAGTAAATATTTGGAAGTCAACATGCTAAATAACAAGTATCCAAACAGTTGCCTGGCTAGCTTACAAGACACCATTTTACCCACAGTAGCTCTCATTTTTCATAACTTGAGACATTATTTCATCCTACCAGAACCACTGATACCATTTCAAAGGCAACACACTCATCTTCAGAGCTGAAACACTGAGTGAACTAGGATTTCCTAATAAAAGACAGACACCATCCCATTGCTATGAAAGCAGCTGCCAAATCTAACATCATTACAAGACAGTATTAAAGTTATAATCAAACCCATTACATGATTTAACATGTAATAGAGCAAACAATGCTAGAGCTGTATTGTTATTGGTATTTCAATATTGTTATTTCAAAGAAATAGCAGAGTTGAAGGTTTAGGAAGGTTTACATCAGCAGAGAGATAAGTGGCAAAAAATACAAACAGAAGGTGGCAAAAATTATTTCACTAGAATATGGGACTTTTTGCCTGCAGATTACTTGCAAAAATGTCTAAGGAAGGTACCTAAGATAAAAATGGATTGTCAACAGGCTTTGAATCGCAACACGGAGGTCAAAATCTCCCTGGAAAATTCCTGTGGTATACAGAATTGGGAAGGTCAAACCTCATTAAACCAGAAGCCACAAGACATTTCCTTTGAAAAAAAAAAAAAAAGAAAAAAGCAGCCACTGCACTTCTTTAGTAAAAGAATGATATTCTAATTGTGTGGCAATATGCAGAGCAATAATTAGGAAATTCAAGTTTCCAAGCAACCCCCTATGCCTAAAAGAAAAAGGACTGAAAATGTT